CGTTTTATAGATCTATTCTCATCCACCATCTTTGTTTGTGACTCAAAGAGTGTAAGAGTCACGTTTCTGAATCGGACACTCTGAGTGGATGCAGTCACACCCAATCGGAGTCTGATTCAGAGGGTTGCCTGTCAGTTCTGTTGTTATGTGTACTGAAACGAGAGCCGGTATAATTCCACGTGTGAAAACAAAATAAAAATTGGAATACGTTATTTTAGTGTCTTAAAAGTAGACTGAGTTATGAAGGGTTAACGTTACATCTTAGGATAATTTGTAGTCATGTTCTGTATACATACTAACATATAAAGGTATACTTAGTGTGGTTACTCCATGTTTACTAGCTATAACATTAACGTTACATCACTCTTTTTCACTTCTTACTCAGTCAGACAGAGTGCAGATATCACCATTAGATTAACAAACCTGAAACATCATCCATTTCTTGACTGCTGGTGATGACATTGTTTTCAGCTGCTGATACTGCTGCTGCTGCAGCTTGTGGCCTGCTTCGATGACAATAACTTTCTAATATCCATAACTGTATAGCAGTGGCGGCTGGTGGAAAATATTTTTGGTGGGGCTTTTGATATGGTGAGTAAACATTTTTTTTTTGGCAGAAATGACCCCTTAAATTAGGACTTCTGGTGATGTAATGGCGCGTTTCCAGTGCAGCGCGGAGCTCGCTTTAATGCTGCGTTCAGACCGGACGCGATGCGAATATTCGCTTCGCTCTAAACGCTCCTATCGCATCGCTTTAGTCGCTCGAGTTTCACCGCGGCTGCCAGCTGTGTTTACTCGCATCATTCAAACAAGACGCGCTGGCTCGGGAGCTACAACTACAACAAAATGAACATATTTTACCGTGATTCAATTGTAATACACGTTTCTAAATTATGCCGACGTAACAACATACTGATACCGGTTAGTAAAAACCATGAATTAATGCTTTGACAAGTCTGCAGACAGACGGCAGGCGAAAAACCTTTTAGAATGCTTGTTTTCCGAATGGAGCTTGGCTAAGCTAACGTTATATATGTTCCGACCGTCCACACTCACAACAACGGCCTATACAGACATAAATAAACCAGCGACTGTATTCTCCATGACACAGACAGTCTGTGGTTTGTACTTGTTTAACTTTTGTCTAATTTCTGAACAGATCGTATCTGTCCCCGGCTGTTTGAAGAGCAAGCATGGGAAACAAAAGATACCATTTACCTGTTTGCATCGTTTGCATCCAGCTAGCCTCGTTGATACGTTTTGTCTATTTCACGAGCTTGCTGTGATATATACAAATCGGGTTGGTCCGGTCCAAGGTCTTTAAGTATCAATTTATCTCCCAAACTTCTCCTTTGGAAAGGATTGGAGAGTCGCTCTTGCACGGAATTGGGTGCGGACCGAGGTCCGGCGACTCCACCTGCACACCATTCTAAATACTGCGTCACCTTGGTCACTCACGAGTCTAAAAAACAACTCACATCACGTAAGCAACGTGGGCGCCAACGTGAGCGCCCTCGTGACCAAAATATTTGACGGCGCTGATTGGCTGAAATTATGTTTCGGCGGCACAGTTTACTATTGAGACTTTTGCAACGTGCTGGTTGCTGCTGTTTGTCTCGGGGGCTCCGCCCGGTAATGATAAACTAATGCCATGGGCAAGGCCAGGCAGGAAACATGACTTATCAGTAACTTTAGACATCATAACACAATTTTAAACGAGATTTTATCGTAGATTATACATTTTACTGATACCAATTGTATGATATTTACCTTGTTCATTAAAAATAAAAATATAAAATATATATTTTTTTTTAATATTTAAATTTTTTTTTAATATATTTTTTTGAATGTGGGAAGAGGTGGGGTGGCGCCCCTAGCGCCCCTATGGGCCGGCCGCCACTGCTGTATAGGCTATTAGCTTAAAACTCGTCAGGCACTAGGAAGGATCACTTCTTCTTCAGGGCAGGCTACGCAGTACGCAGGCTAATGTCACACAGTGGCTGCCTCTCTGGTGGACTCCGGTACTGCACATTACTCCCGAGACGTTTAAAAAAAAAAAAAAAGTAAATTTTTATTTTTTATTTTTTTTAAGTGAAACATCCGGGGCTTTTCAGAAAACATCCGGGGCTTGAGCTCAAGTAGCCACCCCCTAGCGCCGCCACTGAGTAAGACCCCCCCGGAGGTCGAAGTTAATCTTAAATGTTTCCATCTTATGCTTTGTAAGTTTGTTTCGTAACGGAAGAAATGTAAATATATTTATAAAACTGACAAGTCAAATCAAGCAATCTGATTGGTCGATAGTGTTTTTGCGGACCTCTTTGATTACAGATTTGAAAACATCGTTGCTTGCTTTAAAAGTAGCACAATTCATTATGTCAAACCCCAGTCTATGTGTCAAACCTTGGAAAGTATCTAGATATCCCTGCCCTAATGCCAAAGTTACTGCGCACCGAATATGTTTTGCCGTTTGATGTCTATGTCTGGACCGCTGCGTAAAAAGGAGGGTTTCTGCCCCGTTACTTCTCCGCTGTTTTCGTGTTCCAGTTTGAAAAGCATGCTTTTCAGCCCAACGGTATACTGTTTTTCTCAGACGCGGAGGGATACTGACTTGTTTTGAAAAGTAACTTACAATTCTACCCGTGGTATACGCTCAGTAGCCTATATCACGGCTAAGAACCAATCCGATTGCTTGATTTGACTTGTCCGTTTTATAACACTCAGAAGGCCTACTCTCTTTATTTGCTTTAGTTTAGTAGATATATACAAACAAAGAGTCGATATTTTTAAAAACCATTTAGTGCTTCACATAATAAAATACGCAACGGCTGTAGCCTGATTATATGCTTTATGAGGTGCGTGTGTGGTACAGTGTGTGTGTGTGTGTGTGTGTGTGTGTTGTACAGTGCGTAGATGCAGCAGACAGACAGGTCTCAGTTGGTTTGGTGTCCTCTGCTTACTTTTAATACTTGTAAATAAAACTTTTGGCCCGTAATTTATTTTCCTCATTGTAGAGACCAGAGAGGGGGGGGGGGAGGGGATATATCCAGTCTCTGATAGTGTTACGTTATTATGAGTATGCTCTGTTTGATTCTGAAATTGTATATATTTATATAAATATATATGTGTGTGTGTCCGCATCTGTAGCCTGTTATTGTCTCATTATACCGCACTGTGAATGAATTAAAAGAAAAATACATAAGTGGTCATGAACACATCTCTCCATCAGACAGAGGGCTGCTGTGCTTCCTGTCATCATTAATGGACGTCTCTTTAAAATGACCGCTCAGAGGAGAGGAGTTCTCATTTCTCTAACCACCTGCTGCTTCTCCTCCTCTCTCCTCGGTTCCCCTCCTCGGCTCCTCGGCTCGCATCTCCTGTGGGCGGGACTAGGTATCGAGGATAGGAGTCGAGGAGGGGAGTTAGAGAAATGAGAAAGGGCCTAGATGTGGGACTGTTTATGTTCCTAATGCTGTTGTTGTTGTTGTAAATGTCATTTTTTGTTTTGATTTCTCTTACATGACTATGCACTGCAACATTTGTTTTGTTTTGTAATTAGTTATGTTACTGGTTCGAAATAAAATGTATCAATCAATCATGTGTATCCAGTAAAAAAAATTATGAAGGAGGGAGGGACATATAAAAAATGGGTGGACCAAACATGAGTAGGAGTTTAACAAACAAGGATATCAGTTCTTATCTGACCCAGATGCAAATAGAAGGGGAAAGACACAGATAAAGTGCAGTGAAGACAGAGGACTTGCCTCAGAAAAGAGGCAGAAGATAGGTTACTAACTGAGGAGAGAGAAGAGTCCAAAGTTTGACATCTAGATCAGTGTGAGAAAAAGTTTTTAGAGAGTACTTGTCCATGGACAAGTGAGTTTGGCAATTTACTTGTCCGAATACATTTTTCACTTGTCCAGAATGGACAAAAATTGGGGCCACTGGAATCTTCTTCTTCGTCATTGTATTTTACATATTCCCACGGTTTTTATGACACCGCTAACGTAAGTGAGCGGTAAGATTTTACTGCATCACACAAAGGGTTGGGTATCGTTTGGATTTTAACGATTTTTAACGGTTCTGCTTTTCGATTCCGGTTATTTTCGGTTCCGGTTCTTTGAGAGGGTCAAAATAAGTCCCATGATAAACTGGGAGAAAAATATATTTATGAAAACATTAAGTCAAATCTGTATTCCTATTTACAAATCACTTCATACTGTTGAATTTCGTTACGGTTATTGAATACAATTATATAAAAATAATCTCTGCATTGTTTAGTTAGTTCTAAATGGTGCAGTTTGAGAATGTACAATTGGCCCAGTCTCCTCTGATGTTACACTGCAACCTGCCTGTGAGACAGAGTCCAACCACACATGTCCAACACATAGGCCTAATAATAATAACGATACATTATATTTATAGCCTATAGGCCTAGCGCTTTTCTACAACTCAAAGACGCTTGCACGCATGTATTTACACATGCTGCAGCTGCCCAGCTGCTCACTGTTTATAAAAGTAAATAAATAGTATTTTCATTTCAATAATGTACTTTCTATACCCTGCTTCATAAACAATACTGACATCCCTGTGCTCCTCCGAGTCTGGGGGTCCGGGATGTGAGGACAGCGCGAGGACACAGACAGGGAGGCTGCTTCACTTCATAAAGGAAATGGCGGTCAATATTAACAACACAGCGATCAGCTGATACGGAGCATATGAGAGAGCTGCAGTCCGCGGGGCTCGGCCTCGCCTCCTGTCCTCACATCTCTTATTAATCCCGGTACCGGACAATTGTTATTTGTTCCTACTCGGAACCGAGTTTTGCTTCCCAACCCTGCCACTGCGCTACACTTCCCGCCCCGCCCCGTCTAACTGTACAGAAAGCGGCGAGATGCATTTCCTTAGGAATCAACAAGCAAAACCGAAACTAACATTTCTAAACGAACAATGGCGGACACGTACAATTTGCGAATGAGTTCTGCCTTTTGTAAACAGAATATATCAATAATTTGTCAATAAATCAGGGCGAAAAATGTCACTTGTCCACCGGACAAGTCAATTGAAAGATCTACTTGTCCGATATTGTAAATAACACGTCCCGGACGGTGGGACGTGTACTTTTTTGCACACTGTAGATACAAGGTGTGTGTGGACAGGAGGTGAGGGGACGAGTGTGTTTGCAGAAAGAGATCGGGATGAAGCGACACCATGATAAGTTATCTATCTCTTTGATTATCACTGTCTTCTGTTTGGGGAGCCTGCTGACCACTGCCTTCTGGATCATTGTGGACAACAGGTAAGCGTGTCAGTACTTGTAGAAAAATCTAGCTTGATTCATCCCACAAAACTAAGGAGCAAAGATACTAGCAGGGAAATCTGTTGCATTTTGACAATGTTGGCAATCAGTTACATTTAAATTACATGTACGCCTGATTATAAGCTAAAGAAGCTGTACAAATGCCGTTAAGACATAAACATTGATTATAGCTCATCACTGACAAAGATTATAGTGTGGACCAACTTAAACATTTATTGCTAATTCGTTAGAGCTAATAATTTTTAGTTCATCCCAAATCTTTATTTATGATTTGGTGGAACTTTCAAATGAAAGGTACAGAAAGTAAAAAATATTGATTCTGTCGGACAGAAATGTACATTCACAAAAAGTAATACGATTATTCATTCTGAAAACAACACACCATGTGTTACTTTGTTATAACTTCATTTTTCCTTTTGGTCTATTATTATTAGATCAAAGTAAGGTTTTTAATTTTTTAACATTTTATTTTTAATTATACATTAATATATTTTCTTTAGTTAAAAGCAAACGTGTTTTATAATCAATACAATACCGTTTTTTTTTTTACCTTAAACTAATTACATGTACTACAATATCAAAGAATAATTTTGACTTTCAAACTTAAAACACTTCATTACACTCAGTTCACATACTATCATTAAAGACAGGAATATTCTCCTGAAAAGACCTTAACAAATTATTATTATTTAAACATTAACAAAACTCTCTTACAACCTTAACCACATAAACATGTGCACATGACTTTGTACAATTTGCTTGCTTATTTCTCCAGTAAAAATTGAAATATGTAATGCAATAGCCCTCAACTGTCTGACGTTGTTTAAACCAAGCTGCCTTTTAATAAAAGACCAGAATGTGTGCTTGTCAACTTGTGTCATTGCTAAACATTAAACATTATACAACCTAAAACAAATCTCAATATGTAAAACTGGTTCTGCATCTCTCATTTACAAATCGAGGATGTAGTTCAATAGTTTCAACATTTTCATAACAAGAACCAGGAAATACCCGCTCATTAAATTCAGCGGTCTGTCAGATGTTGCACAATAGTTATACCAGATAAAGAACCTTGCTTATAGGAAAAAGCTTATAAATCCAGGCCATCACGTCTTTACCTCTTCCACTCCTGATTCCTTTTTTACAACATAATGTATTTTCAGTGAAGAAATTGTGAATTCAACACTTTGACAGTGTCTATATGGGTCCACACCACATAGAGTTAATTTAACTCTTTTAAAATAATTGGTTTCTTAACAGGGGGTGTGTGGCGCAGTCGATAGAGCCTTGGTGTTGGGATAAGGGGAGCACAGGTTCGAACCAGTGGCGTAGCTGTGGGTGGGCCCGGGTGGGCCTGGGCCCACCCACATGCACGTCTGGCCCACCCACAGCCAATCAGCGCATCATAGCGCAGAGCCGGGAAGCCCAGAAGGAAGTGCCACAAACTGCAGTTCATCTAGTGGCCGACAGGGGATGGATGCAAAAAGGAGCAATTCCCATAGACCCCCATGTTAAAATGCCCAATTTTACAGCAGAAATAAACATGTTTCTAGCCTGGATCCAATAAAACTTATTCTGGATATAGTTAGATTCCACCTTCATGACAATGGAATAGGGAGTGCATTTTTTTACCGTGAGTTTTTATAGTAAGTAAAGTAACTTTTGCCGTGAGTGAATGAGCGAGGGGGCGGGGCAGTTTACACACACGCAGCTGCTACATTTAGCAACACACCCACACGGAGGAGATGGCGGAGAGAACGCGCTCCGAGGTGTGGTTAAACTATAGCCGTGTCGATGTGGACAATATTCGTTACCAAAAGTGGAATAAGAGTTTAGTATGTAAGGGCGGTAACACGAGCAATTTGTCTAAACATTTAGCAAAAGTGCTCCACATTCAGACGGAGAAATGCACCGGATTCGACTGTCTTTCTAGCAGCTCTGTAGCCCCATCCACGAGTAACGTTTCCACGTCAGGTGTTATGTATGCTAGCAGCAACACACGGAGTTAACTCAATTATACAAACATGGGTTAATGATTAGAGGGAACTGAGTTATTTATTTTGTTAAAGTTTCAGCTATTCTGTTTACAGTTCTGTCATCAGATTATTTAATACGATTTGTTAAAACATTGTTGTTTCTTTTGATGTGAAATATTATGTATTTAATTGAAATAAAAAGCAATGTTAGTTTTGTTCACAATTTGTTTAGTTAGTTTACCTTATTTTTTTCTCCAAAAGAACCGATAAAAGTAATGTTAAAGGACCGGATCGATAAGACATAGACATACTTTATTGTCATTTCAACAAGACACAGAGTGTACTATTAAAACGAAATTTCGTTTTACTGGCTTACAGGAACAGGACAATATAAAAACTTGCTAAAATTGTACATATAAATAAATAATAGTGACGTGGTGCAGATAAAATTAAATACAAAGTGTGTGTTTAAAATATAAAGACTAAATAAAATAGACATACTATATAGAAAATATGTGCGCTTTACACAGCGTAATGTAATCTCTGTGTCACTGGTCTACTTGCTGTTCAGCAGTCTGATGGCTTGGGGGAAAAAGCCATTACAGAATCTGACTGTTCTGCTCTTAATGCTGCGGAACCTCTTGCCGGAGTGCAGCAGGGAGAACGGAGCATGGTGAGGATGAGGGGGGTCTTTCAAAATGTTCTGGGCTTTTGTCAGGCAGCGTTTCTGAGTCTCTGATGGGAGGGAGAGAAACTCTGATGATCTTCTCTGCTGTCCTAACCACTCTCTGCAGAGACTTCCAGTCTTTGGCGTTGCAGTCTCTCGACCAGATGGAGATGCCGCTGGTCAGCACGCTCTCTATGGTTCCTCTGTAGAACGTGGTGAGGATGGGAGGGGGAGCTGTGCAGGAAGTGTAGGCGCTGCTGTGCCTTCTTAAATAGTGATGTCGTGTGAGTGGACCAGGTCAGACTGCTTGTGATATGCACCCCCAGGAACTTGGTGCTGTCTGTAGTCTTCACTGCTGTGCCGTTGATGTGGAGTGGTGGGTGACGGTGCTTTTTGTTCCTGAAGTCGAAAATGATCTCTTTTGTTTTATCGACATTCAGGATCAGGTTGTTGGTGTTACACCAGTCTGTCAGATGTTTCACCTCCTCCCTGTAGGCCTGTTCGTTGTTGTCCCTGATGAGTCCCACCACTGTTGTATCGTCCGCATACTTTATGATGTGGTTGGTACTGAACCTGGAGCATAAGCATAAGCGCTATCGATAAAAGTAGTAGTACCGTTGTGTACCCTATGTGGATGTCAGTTTTACACACATTCTGAGGCCGCCGTGCCTATGTTTTTTGTTTTCACTGCTAATTTATGCTTATGTTCTATTAGTGCATTAAAAAATCATTAAAATCATTAATGAAGTTTCAGCTCAGACCCCACGCTTAATATGTCTCCCCCTGGCCCACCTACATTTCTCCAGGCCCACCCACACAATAATTCCTGGCTACGCCACTGGTTCGAACCCCACTGCAGTCAGCATGTCTTTGTGTCCCTGGGCAAGACACTTCAGCCCACATTGCTCCTGTGGGGATTGTCCACAGTATTGAGTATGTAAATTGCTTTGGATAAAAGCGTCTAACAAGTGACATGTAATGTCAACACTATTCAGAGTAATTATTAACATGGCGTTCAAATGTAACTCTTCGTAACCAGTGTTAGTTTCTCAACACTTGCATGGTGTTAAATATTAACTCTATCACAGAATAGTTTATTAACTATGAAAGTGTTACTCATATCTGTGTGACCTCATCCAACGACACACCCCACCCGTCGCCTCAGGTCTGCTGAAGCTAACCTACAGCAGCCAATCAGGACAAAGCTCGGGACCTGGGGTGACAGGGCCTTCGCAGCAGCCTCCCCCCCACACTCTGGAACTCCCTCCCCAGCCACGTCAGATCCACCAACACTCTCACATCATTCAAACAATCCCTCAAAACTCACCTTTTCACTCTTGCCTTCAACTCCTCATCAACTAACCCCTTGCCCTTATTCCACCTAGATTAGCACTTTTTACTTTTTGTTATTTTTGTTTTACTTGCTTGTAAGCGCTTTGAGCACCAGGAAAAGCGCTTTATAAATGTAATGTATTATTATTATTATTATTATATGTTAACACTTTAAGGTGTAAATAAAGTTCTAATAAACTATAACAATTACTACAAAATAAAGTAGGCTAAAGTTGTTTGAAAAAAGATTTATTTTTCAAACATTCGCACCACAAAAGCGTTTTAAAATACATTTCAAAATACACAGCAATATGGAACAATGTATGCTCTCATTTTCATTACAGTATTGCCTATCAAAGGGTCTAACATAGGTGAGCTGGTCAATACAAATAACTAGGGCTGTGCAATTAATCGTATTTTAATCGCGATTACGATTATGGCTTGCGACGATTATGAAAACAGCATAATTGACAAAATACGATTATTTTGCTGGGTGCGCTTTCGCCCCTCCCTAAAAGCCCATTCGGCCACGTGGGAGTGACGTGTTGTGAGTGTTCAGCGCGAGCGAAGATGTCAGAACAAGAGCAGCAACTCGTTAAAAAGAAGGGTAAAACTATTTCCACTATTTGCAAGTACTTTGCCATTACATTCCACATCGCTAAAGATATGTGCCCAGTTAGCACTGTTAGCAACCAGGGCTTTAAGCAACTTGTCAACACGTTGGACAAGCGTTACGCGATGCCGTCTCGGTATTATTTCAGCAGGTCTGCGCTGCCTGCACTATATGACAAATGCCGTGGGGAAGTTGAGAGAGCTGTGGCTTCAGCTGACTACTTTGCGACCACAACGGACCTATGGTCTAGCCCAGGGGTGCCCAACCAGTCGATTGCAAGATGTGTCTAAAAATAGAACAACAATATTCTGTTTTATCGCATGTCCTGTAACATAATCTTCCTGTGCCAGAATAATGCACATGAACGCATCAAAGCTTTGTGATTGGCCGG